CCCCAAAACCCCAAAACCCCAAAACCCCTTCAGATAAAATAAAAACTAGTCTTAGAATTTTTAAGATATGATTAAATTAGGATCCAATTTAATTATGAGTTTAATGAAAAAATACTTCTTTAAAACTCATATCTTACTATCATAGATCTAGTTCCCTAAATAAAGATGAACAGAACGATTAGTTTCTTTGGAATTTCATGGAGGAATTTATTATACATTCTTTGAATAACTTATCTCCCTCTGATTTGTGAATTTCATCCTTCATTGGGGTATAAGTTCCTTCACACAACTGAGGATGAAGGCTATAAAATTCTTTATAACCTCCTTCTAATAAATAAATTTCCGTATAGAATATTTCAGGATAAAACATTTCATGAATTTTCCTATCATATTTTCTCAATTATTTGTACATACTTGGGCCTCTTTTCTAACTGAACTCACAGTGGAATACTATTATTGATCTTGAGTTCATTAATTTGAGTATATTGTCCTGAGATTTGAAAAAATAGCTTTCCATTTAATCGTTAGTGCTCAAATTAATGGCTCCCTAGATATGGCCTCCATCATACTCATAGCCAAACCTACAGTCAACGATTATAAATGGCTTTGAAGGATCCAAGATTAATTCTGCCATGGTTTCAGCACTAATGGTATTGACACCATGGTATTTTGGTCGAGAAAGCTTGCCTAAAAGTAAAGCTTCTTAAGTTAATGAATAAAGAGTTTAATCAATACCCATTGGCCTTATCTATATTTTAACTTAATCTTCCTCTTGATCAAGCACTTGAATATTTTTGGAAATGCTTTGATCAAATAAGTTCATCTCATAGTCAAGACAGTTTAGTTCTTTGGATAAATTCCTCCTCTTATAAGTTATTTCGTTTTATAACGAGACTTATTTCTGTTATGAGGTGAAAATATCATATTCCTCATCTCCTGCAAGATTAAATGGATCTATATTGCTTTCATCTTTATCATCTGAATTATATTCTGAGGGATCTTCGACAACAGAAAATTATTGATCAAACTACATATTCTGATCATTATTGATTTATTATAGATTTATTTAGCAAACAGGATCTTTGAATTTCCGTTTGACTACTATCTATTTTTTTATTAATGAGTATGGACTATTGAAACTAAGCTCTGCGATTTTATCCTCTAAGTTTTGAGATAATTAATCTCCACCGTATATATCTGAATATTTACGTTTCATTAGGAAAGAGTTTGATTTTTCTCTCTAAATAATTAGTTCCTGTGAGTCTGATTGATTAATAGTGCATTAGGAGGAATCTAGGTTATTGGAGCTAGAACTTGCCTATAAGTTAGAGTCTGGTATTAATTAATTATTCTCCTCTGAAATGGTTTTTCTGAGAGGAAACTTTCCCTTGATAGCAGATAAATTAAGGGGATCTCTCAGCATTTCAAGATGCCTTTTGCAATCTGGAGACTCGAACTCATTCTATGTGAAGGCAAGTAGCCTAGGTTTAATAGAAGGTTTAAATTAAGGAGACTAGCTGGGTATGTCAGGTAGCCTGAGACTTTGTGATTTTTAAAGGAAAAACTTTCTCTATAGCTATATTAAGCTGTCTGAAGAATTCTATCTTTCTAAGGGAGATTATTTCATGAATGAATTATCATTATCAGTGCTTGGAGTTTAGTATAGATAATTCTTTTATTGAGAATTTTCTATAAACTTTTTAAAATCAAAAGGCATCTAATGACTCATTTTGAAAATCAAATTTAAATTTATAAAATATGCGCCACTTAATTTAACTAATAATAAAACTTTTGCCAATCAAATTAATACTCACTTAGATCAATCATTCAAACTCGGATGCTGTCTTAAGCTATGAAGATTTAATTATTAGCTACTTCATGACATTAAGTGTTGGGAAAAACTAGAATTACAGCGGAGCATTATTAAGAAGTGTTTCTAGACTTTCCTCATTCTCAGTTATAAATATCCCTTAAGGTTCTGACTTATCTTTTAACAGATTCTTCTTGCTTTTCTGACCACTGGATTTTCCATCCTCTTCTAGTCTCTTCAATTCCTTTTAAAGTGTTTCATCGGTATTTTAAAACAATAGCTAGTCTGACTTCTTGATTCTTCCCATTCTCAAACTCATAGCAAATTACTGGTCTTTATCAAGATTTTTATTCATTACTTTTTTCCTCCATTCAAAAAATTTAATTGCATTTTCGTTCTTGCATTTTTCCAGATATTTATTAAGAACAGCTTGTTTTACTGAATCGGTCACTTCCCTTAGTTTTTACAACAAATCTTTTTGTTTCTTTGATTTATTTTTTATTTTAACTAGTTAAAGTATCATTTTTTGTTGTTCTTGATCGAAATACTTCTTAAGCACTTCCATTCGTTGCTTCATTTGTTTGACATAGAGAGAAAATCTTTCCTGGATTGAAATTACTATAAATAATTGTTAAAACCATAGATAAATTTGATTTAATAAATATTTCACCAGGATTTAAAAGTTATGAATAGTAGATGATAATGTATAAACTTACATCTTTCAAAGAACTGCTTTATCTTAATTTTTATGTAAAACTTTTTTGAATAAACTCTTAAAAAATCGAGGAAAGTTTATTTTGCCCTAGTTTCTATTGTATCTTTTTATTACTGGGCTAAACTGTTAATTGTGCTAAAAATAGAAATAAGTCTTGTAAAATAACCCTTACTATCTGATTGTGTTTACAAATCTTTAGTTTCGATTCTAGCATTTTTTCTGAAAAAAATGCCTACATTTTCTTTGGAATCTTTTAATTCTAAAATGATGCCTAAATTTGCTAATTTATTTTTCTCGAATAGAGTAAATTCCATTAGCAACATTTCTCAAAGCCTAATCTGCTACAATGGATTTGTTCCAAAATACTACTAGTTACACTAGTTTCTTATAATCTTCAAGCTTTTATTACTCCTCTTTAGCTTAAACCTTGTAAAATTCCCATCTGTGAATTAAGAATAAGTTTTTTTCTCGATTTTACATTTCTAGCTGTTCTCTTAGTCTTTTAGCTCTCTCTATTTATTAGTTTGTATAATTTCCCATTAATCTTCTTTTCTCTATTTCATATTCCTTATAGTGAGGAATTAAGTTGCAATTTCTATCTATTATATTCTCTTCGCTACTGAGTCTAATATGAGGACTATGAGAAGAGCTAGTTTTAAATTCTCTTTTTCCTGAGAACTATTTCTTAATTTTTAGCTGCCTCGTTTTCTTTAACTCATCTATGAAATAATATGAATGAGAGAATTTGTACAATAATTATAATTTCAACATTATAATCTTTTACTTACTTATTTTATCTTTGAATTCTTTAAATGACTTTTCATCTGTCATAAATGCCCTTAATTGTCTTTCTAAGGCCATCTTTTTTTATTTTGCATTCCCTGAAAATGAAAAAATGAATTTCTGAGTTTTTAATTTAAAAATAGTAACTTACCATTAACAAGCTGACTACTATCAACTTACAACTATTATTGAGTGACTGCTCCTGGATTAATTTGATTTGTATCTGCTGGTTTCAAGGATAATTCTTTGATTATTTCCTATTTAAAGCTAAGATTTATTCGAACTTAACATCCTTTATTTGAGAATAGATTAATGTAGAGAAATTTTTCTTTAAAATAGTGAGAATTCCCGTTTTTGACTCCATTAAACACTATTTTAGCAGGCTATAATAATTAAATAGGTAGAGACTTACATTTTGATATTTTCCCTGATTGTTTTCTTCGTTGGGCTCTTTGCTTTATCTGCTTATATAGACAATTAAGTCTTTACTATCATGGTATTGAAAAGTTAAGAGTCCAGGAGCATTTTTATCATAAATATTTGCTTTCAAGCTATAGTTTATTCCTTCAAATACTTCGATGTCTAAATGCTAATGCTCGTTTATTTCTTTGTGCTATTCTTCACCTGAATTTACCACTTTGTTCAAAGTAAATAGCAATGTTTTCATTTCTTTATTTGCCGATTTTAGTAGTGAAGAAGTGTCAACCTACAAAATATCTTTATCTTATAATTCCTTCATTCTATAATGATCTTATTTGAGTAAATATATCTTACTAGGCTATACCCTATTGATTAATAGCAGTTTACCTTAACTTGACTCTTTAAGCATAACTTTCATAGTTGTTAATCATTAAACTCAGATCTTGATTGCAATTCTAAGTCAAGGCACTCATTCCCCCATTTTTCTGTTTTATATTCAAAGCAGTCTTGAGCTTTTCCCTAATTGAATCGTATCCTGAGGTATTCAGTCCATCGCTCTCATTGGTTGATATGTTAAATGGATTAGGTTGTCTTTAGCGATGAATAAAAGTATGATTAACTGATCTAATTTGATCAAATTCAATTGAATGACTTTTGTTAAGTTTATCTTAAATGCCATTTTTATTAGATTTTCTATGACTATTCTAGTTTAGCTTTCATTTCATAATAAAGTTATTACTTGAAGTTTTAAGCATCAAATTTACATTCTTTTTTGCCGTTTTACTTGGGGATCTTTTTATTAATGATCTCATTAGGCTTGACTATCATTAGTATGAAATATCGATTTCAGTTGACTTATCAAAGTTTGAATAGTAATTTGCAGAGGATTCGTAGTTTGGATTAGTTCCTATGTTTATCTGCTTTGACTCTTGATTCCTAGACTTGAAATTTTGGCTTTTCAGACTTGGAAGTCTCCCCTCGATTTCTCTTTTAGTTCTGCTAAGTTATATTCTATAATCAGTCGAAATTTCTTGTTTATTCTAAATCATAGGTGTGAAATTTCTTTTGTCCCTAAATGTACTATTAACGACATTTTTATCTTAATTACTTGATAGGTGATAGCCTTTTTTGGATATCATTGTTAGAAGAGTTCTTATGATAAGACTTCATTTTTATTTTTCCATCCAACAACTTTAATTTCACAGAAAACTACCACTCGGGGTTTTGGGGTTTTGGGGTTTTGGGGTTTTGGGG